CTGAACAAATCATTCTGGGACACTTCACTCCTCCATCACAAAAATCAACACCTTCTCTGCTATCTCTACAACTCAAATCAAATGGTCAGCTACACTCACAAATCAACAATCATTATGTTCCGATGTGCCACCGACAAGTTCTCCTCAAATGCATTCACCTCAAATAGTCAAAAAGGCTACATTGTGGAGGAGACAGAGGTCAAATACTCGTGTCCTGAAGATGAATTCCATGGGCGTCTCCTATTCTCCAAAGAATATTCATTCTAGAGGCGTCACCGGACTTCATCCAAGCTGATCAAGAGCAACTTCTGGAAGGCAAGGACTACATGCAAGATACAGAAGGTCCCTCAACCCCCGACATCAAAGATCAAATTTTTAAGAAGACATCAAAGGGGAGATTGCAAGGATTTCTTCAGATAACCTTCCTCAGAAGTCAAGTTCAAAGACAAAGGAAGCTGAATAACAACAAAGACAAAGATATCTGCGATGCAATGCTGATTCAACACGATTGAACACCAAGGGGGAGATTGTTAGGAATAATTTATGGTGTCCAATCTAATTAAATATCTTTGTATTTGTGTAGTTATTAATTAAACATGTAATACGAGCCACAAATGTGTATCAGCCCGGGGGCTTCCTTGTAACCCGTAAGTTAGCTAACTTCTCCTATAAAAGGAGGCTAACTTACGAGAACCCTATCTATCGAATTAAGGCTTAGAGGCGCAGAGGCGAGATAGAGATAAGGGTTTCCGCTGCTCTCCTTCTCCAGGGAGAGCAGCGGGGTTTCATACGGTATACCAGATTCGTGTATAATATCGACATATCTTTCTATCTGCTTCTTCTTAACTGCTTTGGTTGTATGATTGTTTAACTATCTGGGTTTATCAGTTTACAAATTAAAGAAATTCATTTCTAGGCTCAAACAAACTTCCCATTAGTGATATACTACTAAGTTTCATAGTCATATTATTTTATTTTATTTTAAGCCAAATGTTTGTGACAATTGTATATCACAAGTTCAGTGGGAGTGAATATATTTCCCTGCTTTTGCATGTTGATTATATACTGTTTACTAGCAGTGATAGACTTATTGCACAAAACTAAAAGATTTCTATAAGAAACCAAAGCCTTTGGTGACGCTTCATTTGTATTAAGAATTCAAATACATTGAGATCGTTTCCAAGGCATTCTTAGACTCTTATAAAATTGCTATACTAAAAAGGTTCTCAAAAGGTTTGGTTGCATGACCTCAAATCAGGAGATATTTGAGTTTCTAACGAAGACAAGTTTAGTGTCATGTAGTTCCCTAAGAATAGTTTTGAATCTAAATAAATAAATGTGAAACATTTCTTATGTTTTGGCTATAGAGAGTTTGATGTATGCCCAAGTTTGTACAAGACCTGACCTGGCGTACATTGTTGGAATGTTAGACAGATGTTTGAGCAATCCGGGAGCGGGCCATTGAAAAGCAGCTAGAATAGTCATGTAGTATTTACATATAACAAAGGAATATATGCTCACTACTAGAGACCAGATCAACTTGAGATCATAGAATGTATACTAATCCTGATTTTGGTGGATGTTAGTATATCTTGAAATTCACTTCGAGTAGATATATATTCTTGTTGGAGGATCTGTCTTCTGGAGGAGTATCAGGAAACTCTTACAACTTTACTTTCAACATGGAAGTAGAGTTTATAAGAGCATGTTATGAGGTATTCAACTAGGAATTATGATTGCGAGATTTTGTTAGTAGACTGCACGTAATGGATAGGATTAACAAGCCACTTAAGTTATTGTGTGATAATAGATAAGCAAACCTCTCTCTTAAAGAACGAGTTCAAGAATGAAAATTGTCTATAGAGCACATTAGCACAAATTCCATTATTTCAGATCCGCCCACTAAAGGATTGGATTATCATCCAAAGCGTGTCATGAGCATGTTGGTCAAGTGGGTGTTAAATTAGTTGAGAATTATGAGTTTTAGTGGGACTATAGTGTTTATACATTATCAAATAAGTATTTGGTTAATTCAGTTTCTTAAGGTTGAACAAACATAATTTAATGTTTTGCGTATTCTTGTAATTATATGATTGATTACGAGGTGAATCAGTTGGAAATAGACATTCTATTTGAGACCACACTTCATGTTATTTTCACGCTACACACTTCATGTCGTTGATTGTACTAATATATGTGAATATTGATGAGTCTAGTAATGTAAAGACCTCGTTGATCCTATATTGATATGATTAATGGACCAAATTGATCAATGGATTTAATCCAAGACTACCATAAACTAAATTTGACACTTTTCCATTGTCTATAAAATAAAACTATATTGGATGAATGTCGTTTCTATCACTTCCATTGCATGGTGTTTGTTACAGCACTATCATGTTTGTGATGTTTAATCATTACCGATGTTTTTGTGTATTACTCCATCCGTCCCGGAATTATATTCATATTTTCCTTTTCGGTGTGTCCCAAACTTATTTTCTCTTTCCCTTTTTAGCAAAGAATTTGTAGTTCACAACCATTCGTTCACATTCTTACACATTTCTCTTTCCTCTGCACAACTCTCCACCACACATTTTCCACTATCTTAATCTGTGTGCCATTTGTACTTCAGGAGATAAATATGGGACAGAGGGGGTAACAAATTGCGATATTCTTAGCGTTTTAAATACTACACTCGTGTCATGCATAAAATGTAACGTTGTCATAATTATGTGTGCTTGAAAAGACTCATAGTTCCAGCATAATAACACTCATATTATTTATGTGTGAATTTCATTCAAAATGACAATTTTTAAATGGTGGCAGTATGTTTTTTTGTGGCAGGATGTAAATAGCAAGCATTTCAAGGATAATGAAGAGCAATGGTCATTGAATAGAATTTGTTCTTATTGTGATTGTGGCAATCGTAAATGGTAATTTTGCATGGTGGTAAGTGGTAACAGTGGCGGCGTTAATATTTATACAGACAGTTTTGTCTGCGTGAACAGATAAGTGTGCTAAAGGTGTACTGTGTACACTTTAAATGTGTACATCAAACATTTTTCTAGCGAATAATAGACTGATAATGAATTGATCTCTTTTCAAATTCTTTGAGCTCACACTTAATTTCAAACCCAATGAGTTGAGCTAAATGAGTTACGAACCCGAACACAAGTCAAGTTTAAATTAAAGTTTTAATATTGTACTAGTTTGAGCCGAGCTCGAGTATTGTAATGTTCAGTCCAGTTGGAACTAGAGTACATATTATACATATGAACATTAAACAACTCATTACTCCACTGATTTTGGTTGTTGGCCTTCCAGAGTAAAAAAAGAACATTAAACAACTCTCCAACCGAACACGAGAGACCTGTTTGTAAAGCCCATCGAGTAGGGGTGGATTCGGTTCGGGCCACCCGGCCCGTGACCCGGCCCGGCCCGCTACTGTGCGGGCCCGGGACCGGCCCGGTCTGGCGGTCCGGGACCGGGTGTAGACCCGAACCGGCGGGGAGGGGAGGGGCGGGTACGGTTCCTGAAAAAGTTGACCCGGCCCGGCTGGGTCGGGCCCGGGCCCGGGTCCAGGTCCAATGGTCCAACTTAAAAAAAATGTTGGGCCCCAAACTAGCCGTTATGGCCTTGGGGGGTGGGCTGGGGACAACCCAAACGGCTATATAGCTGTTGGGTGGGTGCAGGGGGGTCCGGGGTGGGGGTGGGGGTGGGGGGAAAAACCTATAAATACTCCTAATCTTAAACATTTTTTCATCTCTTCTCCAATTCTTCCTAAATCCTATTCTTAACTCTCTACTCTCTAATTCTCTTATTCTCCAATATATTATATTTATTTTTTATATATCTACTTTATATTAATTATCTACTTATAATTTATAAATACATACATTATAATATTATATTACTTATATTTGTTATCTAATTATATATTACTTATACATTTATTATATCTATTAAACTCGGCTGAGATCGACTGAGATCGACACCTGTGAAAAATATTAAATGTATATATTACTTATACATTTAATATAATAATATATTTATTATATTTCCTGCTTTTATGAAACAATATGATAACTATATTATAAACTCGGCTGAGATCGACACCTGTGAAAAAAATTGTAATGCTTTGATATATTTTAATAATGCAACTGAAACTTTTAGTCATGTTTATAAACCTACCTCAAACCAATTTATTCGTGAAGCTGTTAATCTCGCCGGTGCTTTTTCAAATTTTGAGAATGCTGATTATGTGAGTTATTTTGCTAGTTTTATGAAGGAAAAGTTTTTAAAATATTATTCACATATTCCGCATATTTATGGTATTGCATTTGTTCTCGATCCTCGTTTTAGACTTGGTTCTTTAGAAGAATGTTTGAATTATTATGATGCTGCTTTTTTGGTCCATTGCCAATGTATGAGGACAACCCAATTGATCCGAAAAAAGAATACAACGAGGTTAGTGATATATTTTATGCATTATTCAATGAGTTTCATGCACAATATGGCAATGCGCCCCCTCCCCCGACACAAACATCATCTAAAGGAAAATCAATTTTCAAATCTACGTTTGTCAATCTTATTAAAAAAACGAAATCAACTCCCGCTACACAATAAAGCACAATTAATGAGATTTCTTTTTATTTAACTTATGATGTTGATTTTGAAGAAGATGATGATTTTGACGTACTAAACTGGTGGAAGGGAAAAGAAAGAATGTTCCCGGTTTTAGCAAAGATGGCTAAGCAAGTGGTATCAATGCCGGTTTCAACGGTTGCCGTGGAACAAGAATTTAGTTCGGCAGGCAATGTCCTAACACAAACCAGAACGAGGTTGAGCGTTGAATCTCTTGAGATGCTTATATGCTACCACGATTGGTTCAAAGCAGCCCGTAGAGCTCAAGAAATTGACATCACCCCATCCCAACACTTTATGAATAAATTTACAACCGAGGGTGGCTCTACCTATGCCTAGTGGTGGACTCGGTTCGGGCCGGGCCTATTTAATTTTTTTTATTAAATATTATATAATTAGAATAATTCTTATTACAATTACAATATATTATATTCGAATTGAAGTATATTTATTTCAAATAAGAAGTACAATTGAGAATTAGGATGAATTTAAAAAATGTAATACATTTTGTAATAAAAAATCAATCGGACTCTCCGCATTCGGTTGTTTCCTCCATAAAGTGGCGGGAGGGAGTGGTGGTAATTTCTTGAGTTCTTCGTTGGGCCTTCAACCAATCGTGAAAGCAAACTAGTGTCTCAAGAGAGCTCGGGCTCAACCTCGTTCTATAATCGGTTAGGACGTTGCCGGCCGCACTGAATTCTTGTTCCACGACAACGGTTGATATCGGCATTGCTAGTACTTGCTTAGCCATCTTTGATAAAATCGGGAATGTTCTTTCATTTTCCTTCCACCACTTAAGAACGTCAAAGTCATCACCAACTTCATAATCAACATTCAATGTTAGATACAAAGAAAGCTCGTTACCTGAGCTTTGTTCAGTAGCGGGAGTTGCTCTACTTTTTTTCAAAAGAGAACCAAAAGCGGATTTTAAAAGTGATTTTCCTTTAGATGAAGAAGATGTTCGTTGCATGGGAGGGGGTGCATTACCATATTGTGCATGAAATTCATTATACAATTGATGAAATAAATTACTAACCTCGTTGAATTCTTGTTTAGGGTCGATGGGATTATCATCGAACTCTTGAGTTGGAAAAAAAGAAGCATAATAGTAATCTATACAATTTGCCAAGTAAGGAAGTTTATAACGAGGATCAAGAACAAATGCAATACCATATATATGCGGAATATGTGAATAATATTTTAAAAACTTTTGTTTCATGAAATCACAAAAATAACTAACGTAAGTGGCGTCGGAAAATTCACAAAAAGCGCCGGCGAGATTAACAGCTTCAACAAAAAATTCGTTTGCGGTAGGTTTATAAACATGACTAAAAGTTAGAGTTGCGTTATTAAAATATGCCAAAACATTAACAATTTTTTCACAAGTGTCGATGTCAGCCGGGTTTATAATATAGTTACAAGTTTGTCTTAAAAAAGCTGGAAAATGATCTTTATATCTAACAAGTACTTGAATTAAATTATAAGTACTATTCCAACGAATAGACAAATCTTTAGGAAAAGCACAATAATTCACACGTCTATCCTTCAAATATTGCCGCCATTGCATTTTTAGTGGAGTGCTAGCCCAAATCAATTTAATTCCCCCCTTGACTACCTCCAAAGCATTTCCTAATGCCGCTAAGCCATCTTGTACACACAAATTTAGAATATGACATGCACAACGTTGATGAAAAAATCTACCCATCAATGTAGAAGCACCACACAATTCACGTAATCTAGGTATAGCAGCAGTATTATTACTAGCATTATCAAAACCTACAGCAAACACCTTATCAATCAAATTATACTCAATTAAAATACGTTCAATGAGAATATAAATATTATCAGCAGTGTGACGATAATTGAATTCACGAAAAGCAAGAACACGTTTATGCATATTCCAATCATCATCAATATAATGTGCAGTTAGACCCAAATAATATAAATGATGATAAGTATCCTCCCATATATCGCTACAAATACTAACACGTCCATCAAAGTTTGCGAAAAATATTTGTAATTTTTCTTTTTCCAAGTTATATTGCCTTATAACTTCTTTTTTAATCGTTTTGCGACTATAATTTTTAAATTGAGGATTTAAAGTACCTTGAGCATAATCTCTTAAAGCAAGACTTTCGGAAAAAATAAAGGGTAAATTTTCTTCAACAATTAAATGAGACATACCAGTCAAATGTTTATTATCATCATAGGAAAAATTACCAAAGGGTTGAGAATTTGCAAACCTTGATATTTGTGTTTGCTTCCCCTTTCCTTTGTCTATTTTCGCATACTCCACAAAGTGGACGGACTTAAGATGTCTTTTGAGACTCCCGTATCCACCAGAAATTGACATCACCCCATCTCAACACTTTATGAATGAATCTACAACCGAGGGTGACTCTACCTATGCCGGAGATTCTGATTGAATGATTGATTAGTATTTCATGTTTTAAAAACAATTGTAGTTCCTATTTAATTTACAAATGTAGTTCCCATTTCATTTCAAATAAATGCACTTGAAGTTTGTTTTTTAATACTTGCATAAAACTATAAAGTATAAAATATAAATTATAAAAACAAAAAAAATCTTTAAGCGACCCAGCCCGGCCCGGCGGGTGGCCCGACCCGTGACCCGGGCGGGTGGCCCGGCCCGAACCGGACCCATCCAACCCTCGGGCCGGTCCCGGGCCCATATGATACGAACCGGCGGCCCGACCCAGCCTAGGCCTGGCCCGGGCCCGACCCGGCCCGAGTCCATGACTACCATCGAGCTTTTGAGCTCGAATCCACACAGCGGTAGTAGTGAGTCGCATCCTCGTTGACATTGCTAATGGCTCGTTCATATTCTAGTGTGTGTAACTAGTGTGTTCCATTGAGAACTGGGATGGATTATGAGATTGATTTGTCCATGGCCGTATGTGGCATTCACCTTAAAAAATGAATTGTTTCTATGGAAACAATTCTTTAGTTAAGAAAAAAGCACAATGCCCAATTTGAAAACTTTCATTTTGATTTAGCACCTATAGAACGTAACTACTACCTATATTAAAGTTGTGGCTGAGATGTATTCACCGACCTCATGGATAAATCTTACCAAACCAAAATAAGATGAAGATAAAGTCACATCCATGTCTCCTCTTTATCTCTATTTTTTCGTAAAATGTATCATACTGTATCATGCACACAATGTTAAAATAAAGATGCTAAAAGTAAAATAATACTAAACAATAAGACGAGAGAAGGGAATATATATGTTATATTATGTGTATCAGTGTATGGCCGATCCGCTCAATTTATACATAGGCAAAACATAGACAAAGGAAAGAGAATAATTATGGTTAGCTAAATCAGTGAGATTGCATATCATATGCACTATCGTGAAATAAAAGAAGGAAAGATATTCGAATATCTATTTTGAATATATCATGTATCCACTCCCCTTCAAGCTAGGGATGGATTCGGGTCCGCGCCAGCGGTTCAGAAATGGTGGACCCAGGACCGGCCTAGGTAACCATCGGGTCTGGTCCGGGTCCGGGCCAGGCCGGGCCGGGCCCATTATCATTTTTTTTTGTTTTCCTCTTCCTAATTAACCCCCCTCCCACCCCCAACCCCCAAAACCACCCCAAATGGCCCAAAATACCCAGCCCAACCCGAAAATTTAAAAAAATTGAAAAAAAAATAGTTTTTGGACCGAACCGGACCCAGGCCCGATCGGGTCGGGCCTTGTTTTGGCTGACCCGAGCCCGGACCGGAAAAACCACGGGCCAGGCCTACCCGGACCGGTCACTGACCGGGCCACCGGGTCGGGTCGGAACAGTACCAGTTCCGGGTCAGTTCCGGGTCGGGCCACCCGGCCCGAGTCCATCTCTACTTCAAGCTAGAGTGGGAAGATCCTGAACACCTAGCTTGTCACGAAGGTATTGAAATTGTTCCATATCATATTTTCTTGTGTAACACTCATCTTTGAAATATAAGAAAATTAGATCAGATCATTTATGAAACTAAAACTCGTCTTCAAGGAAAGAAAAGCACTAGGAGAGCAATCAATTCATGCTATTTAGGAGAGCACTAGAAAAGCACTAGGAGATCATTTGTGAAACTAAAACTCATCTTGAATATACAATAAAGCAAACAGGCAAAGAATAAGACACCATAATGAGCAAGACAGATTAATAACCTATCTGCAATTTGTATGGCTTGGAAGAGTATTTAGTTTAAAACTAAGTAATAAAAAAGTCTGAAACTAAAGCCTCACTACTCGAGACACTTAAGATGTCACCTAAAATCACACTGATGAGTGATGCTTCTTATGCTGCTTCGGCTTGATTCCCAGTTCCTGATAATGAGTGCCCATTCAGACCCAAGGGGCTCTCCTCATTCGTAAGGCCCTCTATTGTAGTGAGTCTCTTGGATATAACCATAAGCATACACATCCATACACACCTGACAGTACTGGGGGGGGGGGGGGGGGGGGGGGGGGGCTTAGCCTCTTAACTGATTAATATTGTTTACTCTTAGATTGCTCAAGACTTGGAAAGTCCTTCATCCAGGGCAACCCTGTTCCGGTCCTGACCAGGGACCAAAACAGATATGTAAGGTTAAGGGACCTGTTCCAGTTATACCAAATGGCACTCAAGAGACCGATACCAGGATTTCCTTTGAAAGATATAGTGTTTATGCTTTAATTGAAACCCTCTAAGATTCCAATTCATCCGGAAGCGAAAGCGGGCAAGAACCGTGCCAACTGGGACAATATGGTGAAGTTCTAAGTTCTAACTTAGACCTCTCTACCACTACTCATTTACTAAGATTAATTTGGTCCATATATTGATGTCTTTCTATATGGATGCTGTGGTAGACACCCTCAAATTTCTCATTCATGTTTAGTTCATTTTCGCAGTTAACTGACGCAATCTAGAGGTTTATTTCCCCAGCTTTCTTTCAAAAAGATAATAATGAAGCCATATAACTTTCAAAGGGTAGAAATGATGGGGGAAGAAAATATTAGGAGAAATATGATAGGAAAGAAGATGTGCAGTGGTTTAAACTAATAAATCTATTTTTCACATATTTTCCAAACTAATGCATTTGACGAAGGGAATCCCCAAGCACCAAAAAGTAAACGTAATTTTGCTACTTCTCACCCCTTCCCCTAGCATCCTCATGTGATCCCAACACACCATAAAAACAATGTAAAATTCCAAAATATGAGTGTGTCACCATCATCCGAAAAATTTAATGCCATAATTTGGCAATACCAGGATTTAAATATAGCAGTATAGTGGCCCAATTGAGAGTATTGTCCAAGCATGGAAAGAAATACTACTATTTAGGGAATAAGAATGTTTTTAAATGGCCAAGTACCTTGTGGTCTGATGACAACACAGTCTCTTCCAAACAGGAGGTCAAAGGTTCGAATCTCATCCCAGTTCAAGGATGTTGGCCTTAACAAAACAGGAAAAATAATTAAAATACTCCAAACTTTGAAGGGGTTTGAGATAAACACCCCAAACTTGTATATGTAACTTAAATACCCCAAACTTTATATAAAAAGTTATTTTAACACCATAGTCAAGTATTATTTCTTTCAAAAATGTAAATTTATGGTGTTATTTGCATAATTTTAAATATTTTAGCATTCATGAAGACACAATTAACATTCTTAACTTCCATTGTAAAAATTTATCCCAATCTATATAACTACAACATTTTTAGTTTGTTATTTTAAATTATGCAATTAACATCATAAATTTACATTTTTGAAAGAAATAATGCATGACTATGGTGCCTAAATAACTTTTTATATAAAGTTTGGGGTATTTAAATTACATATGAAAGTTTAGAGTGTCTACCTCACACCTCTTCAAAGTTTGGGGTATTTTAATTATTTTCCCCTAACAAAACAGATACTAAATTGACAAAAAAAAGTCGAGCCTGGTCTGAATTGGTTAGGTTAATGTTTGGTCTCTGCTTATTTTACAATCGCAAAAGTCTGATTTGATCCATTAAAGTATGGTCTGATCTGATTTGGTCTAATCTGAGATAGAAACAAGTCCAATTAAAAACATCTTTAAAATGTTGTACTCCTATTTTGTAATTCCAAAACATTTTTACCCCTACTTAAGGCATTCTCTTAAAAATAAATTATCCCAAACTGGGAAAACAAGTAGCATGTGAGAAAACATAGCACAACCATGAAAAGAACGGAAGAAGCTTTAGATATTTACACAATAAAACTATCATTTCAAGCATGCTTTTAGCTTTCAAGTCACACTGAGCCACACCTGAACAAAAATTTAAAGGTAAGCCCTTGAAAAAATTGTTCTAATTGTAAATCATTCAGAAATGTGAAGGGTTAAAAATTCAAATTAGAATGCTAGTTCTCATATCCAAGATCTGAGGGGTTTCTGGGTCGATTCTTGGAAGTCCAGTTCTACTTGTTTGCAGAGCACATTCAGTACATCTACAATCTTTCCTCATTTTACAAGGGACATTGAGGGTTACTCTAGTTCTATTTCCGTCCAACCTACTAATCCCCACTGACAGGACATTTATATTGGCAAAGCAGTTAGGCAACCTCCGATTTACCTCCAACAGAGTGTTAATCTTCAGAGTGAAGTAAAGGTCTTCCCGTTCTTGTGGGTGCTTCTTTCATTAACACACACATACAAGGTACTTTCTTTTAGTCTGGGCCCTGTGTATTCTAATTTCTATTTCTTCTTCTATTTTTTCTAGTGCACTGCTACATATATACAAAGGTCACAATATAATTGTGAGTGATCGGTGTGTAGAGGCAGCACACTTGGCTGGTTTTGCGTAACATACATTAATCTTAAGTGGGTTTTATTTATGCACACTAAGTGTTCGAAAAAACGCCTGGCTCAATACCCGGATAAAAAGGTAGAAAAGTTTGGAAGTTTTGCAGATTGTTTATAGCTAAAAGTAACACTACCACAGTCTCTTACATTGTTTGCAAACAGATTTTAATAATATAGAATCGCTAAATGCAAATTATTTACACTAAAAATAATAGTGTAGAATACTTTAAACTATATGAAACAAATTGCTAAGATTTATGTATAACAGAGGAAAAGATCCACTGCGCTTGTATAACTGCCAATAGAGAAATAACTGAAAGCTTTACAAGGTAAACAAAAAGAGCACAAAAGGAAGAAGCGTGCAATTGTATTCCAAGCTTGTGAAAATAGTGAACATTTACTTAAGGTCCTGCGCTTGAAAAAAAGCTCTTACACTTTAGAAGAAAAGGCATGTTTATTTCCAATATGAACTGTTTTTTTACAATGACACCGCTAAAACTAAACACTATATTAGCCATTTGTTTGAAATATCTACCCAATCTAATACGAAGCATAATTTATTGAATGATGATAATGATAATGATAATGAAAGCACAATTTATAATAGAACTACAAAATAATAGAAGCTTTCTCGTAACTAATAAAAACAAAAACTAAACACATTGCAGATGCTTGTATACTTGTACTCTGATATGAATCAAAGCTTCACCTCCTAACTTTAGGTTCCAGACCAATACCTTAGTCGGTAATATATTCTACATGATCTCACACCAAGGTCCAATATATATTTAAGCAAAACCTGTAACTAGTATTTTCTATAGCTATTTATATACAGTATATTGTTATGAACTTAAAGTGACACCAAAATCCAAAAAACAATTAATAAACAACCTATAGAAAATAGTTTTATATACACGTATTTCTTGATAACAAATGTGTGAACGGTTCAAGTACGCTACACATTGCACTCTTTATTCCCTATTTGAAATAGTTCAGCTGCTGTCTCAAGGACATATAACATACACTCGAAATCCTTCATTCAAGCAAATAGATATTGTTTTCAGTTAAAATTATTAAAAAACAGCAGCTATCTTTTAATTCATGCTCACATAGTTTGAATCAAATGAATATTTTGTCCATTGGAATTAGAGACGAACCGAAAGTATGTATACTTGAAATAAAATAAAAGAGTTTTTAAGTGCTGAAAGTATATAATGGCAGAGACGGACCTTATAGCCTAGGTATTAATATGTGCATCAATTTAGTTTAGGCAAATTTTTTAATTTTAATGTTTACAAGGAACACATTACAAAAGCAGCAAGCATAAACAAAATGCTGGCTTGGCTTGTTAAGTGCATTCCGAATTTGTTCTATACATTTCCTTATAAATGGTGTTAATTAAATAGACACTGATAGTGCAACATTTTCAATTTTTATGGAAAACAATTTAACTATTTACTGAAACACATGCGAAGCTTCATAAATCCCTTACTGGCAAATTTTATATCTTAACGTTCACAAAACTATGGTCATACTAGCTTTATTTCTATCGACTACACATCGTCACTTATTATGCTTCAGCCGCCCAAATCAGAATTTCTGTCTCGCCGTTAGTTCAAGAGAACTAATCAAAATCAGAAGAAAGAAGAGAGTAGGTTTCACTAAAGATGAAGGCAAAGGGGAAGGGAAAAGAGAAAATGGTGCAAGAAGAAATTGGGAGGAAGAAAGCAGGGGAAGAATCAAGGAAAAGCTACTACAAAGTAAGTATATGGTTTTCCTATTTTCAAGAGAAAAACTCTACTGAAATATAAGTCGGATTTATTTGTGTGTTGCCACGTTGAGTTTTGATTTATTTTCCGATGATAATTTCAATGGTATTGCACAAAACTTGAGTTTATTTATCTGTTTAATAATACAAACTATTTTCAAGGGTATGGACAGAGCATTGATCTGATCTCCGAAGGTTTTGTTAAGATTCTTACTAAAATGGGAACATTTTTTTCTTTAAGGAGGGAGTGTAAACCCTGCAGATTTTAGAGGGATGGCTATCAGAAGCTGTGGGGCCCACACTGTTGATGTTTTTTGGGCATCAGACTTATAATTTCGCCCCAACCCAAGTTTCCTTGATCTAGATTGAAAGAAACGTTCCACATAGATTGTTTAAACTTGATAGAGGTGGAAATCCAGTTTACACCATGGATCTACCTGACAAACATAAGCATGAGGAGGGTGGCTTAAGCTTTCCCAGCCTGCAGACTGCCATACTCAAAGATAGGGGTGGGGCAGACCCATTCTGGATCCCGGAGTGGCCGGTTAATGGTAGTTGACGGTGGGACCAGACCGACACAAAGGGTGCCTCTACTGGGACAGCTCCGGTTCTTGATTTTTTAAACTTAATATGATCACATTAATATTAGTTTTACTTAGATATATCTAGTTATAAGTATTATTATTAGTTACAATAGTAATAGTTATACATAAGTTATCAATATTACTGTTTGTATGAAATGGTTATATTGCTACCTAAGTATTTAGCTATATTAGTTTATAAAGGAATGATCTACTCGGACGATCTGCACGGGAACCGCGCTCAGGCGGTCCGCACCAGATCTGTACTCTTACGTATATGTTACTGTTTTTTTATTACTATAGTATACTATTGTTAATTTGTTATATTACTATACTATATTATTACTACAGTAATAACATGGGCGAGTAACAAAACACTTCAATGATGGAACCCGGTGCTACCCATACTAAATAGCTGCTGTCGCCCAGATTCCATTTTCAGAAGCAAAATCCTGATACAAATGTGACCTATTAGCTTATGTACACATACACAACATTACCCCACTGCCGCAACTGCTCCCACCGACGGTGGGGGGGGGGGGGGGGGGTCGGATGTATTAGTTTATGTACGTCCAAACAAAATATTTGAATATGTTTATGACAAGAGATGACCTCCCAACCCAACAATTACCAGAGGACTATTGTTGTTGATGCCTTTTCTCTTTGCATTAACACTGCCAACAATAAGCTAAAATAATGTGTTCATAAACCGTGCAGCAAAGCTTCTGCTCTAGCCACACTTTGGAGCCAATTTCCTTTACAGAAAACGAAATTAAAAGATTTACAAATAATTTTGAAGAAACCAAAGATATAGGTGAGGGATCTTTCGCAAAAGTATACAAGGGGGAAATAACAGTCGAGTTAGACACAGATGATGCAGACAAGACTCACCGAATTCCATATCAGCTTGATGGTCAATCAGTAGCAATTAAACGTTATAAGTCAGACAGTGATTTAGGCCAATATGAGGTAATGATCTGAAAACTAACAAATATATCACAATAAGTGTCTTCTTATTCGTTATATCTCACTTTTTCCCAATTTTGAAGGTTGAAAGAACGTTTCTCACCCGATGCCGCCATGAAAACATAGTGACATTGATTGGTTTTTCAGACGGTACTCATCCATGTTTAGTTCTGGAGTATGTCCCGCTACATCTAAACGAAATTCAATCAGGTATTCATATCTCATCTTTTGTTTACTCTACCCTAGTGCAGAATAACTATCATGTTATGTTCAGAATGTAGAGCAATGTTTGCGCTTGAGCAACATCCTACTAAGGCGTAACCAACATTGCCATGACAATGGGGGGCTTGGTTGAAGTTTGATGACTATTATTGTACCATTGCTGTATTGTTTTAGTATTTCTTAGTCGTAAATTCAGAAATAGAAAACTTGCATTCTTTCTCCAGGTAGTCATCCTCTGATAGGAACATGGGCAGAAATTACTATAATAATCATTTTCATTTTCATTTTCATTTACCCCAGTGCCACTAAGACTCCCACCTACGGTGGGGTAAGGGGGGGTCGGATGTACGCAGTCTCACCCCTCTACTAAAGCACAGAGAGACTGTTTCCGGATGACCCATAGTGAAAATCGCGTCCAAGATTGCATGGACTGACTGCTGCTCCATAACAAAGAAGCGCAGATAGTTTAGTGAGCTATTTTGCTTTATTCCATCATAATCTCAAACCAAAAAATAATGAATCTTTGGCTCCATTGCAAATGATGGAAAAACAGAAATTACTATAATAATAATGATAATAATAATAGTAGAATTATAGTAAAAATTGTGATTGTGTAATAATAAGTGTTCTGGGCCATGCAAGTTTTGAGTTGGGCCAGCCCTTTTGTTTTATTATAAGAATGGGAGGGAGGGAGGGAAGGAGGAAAGGAGGCTGTAAATCAGTTGGAAATTAGGCCGGGAGAGTGAGGCCTCTCGAAGAGTCTCAAACCTGTTATTTTCAATTTACGTTGATCTCTCATTTCTACCATTGTAATAGGTTACTGCCTTTTGAGATTGTCATCAATATAATACTAAATTGCTGCTACGTTATTGAGGTATCTATCATCCTCCACTCAAAACCCATTTTAGTTGGTTAGGGCTGTTTCCTATCACCCACGTTGAGCACAAGGTGATTGTCGAAGGGGGAGGGGGGTATGATAGGAACATGAGCAGAAATTATTATAATAATAATGATAACAATAGAATTATACGGAGTAGTAAATAATTGTGATTGCAAAATAATAAGAGTTTTGGGCCATGTAAATCTTGATTGGACCGGCCCTTTTGTTTTATTATAAGAATGGGAGGGAGGGAAGGAGGAAAGGAGGCTGGAATTCAGTTTGGACTGGATTACGTTAATTTCTCAAACTTGTTATTTTCAGATTACGTTAATCTCTCGTTTCTACCATTGTAATAGGTTACTGCCTTCTGAAATTTTCATCAATACTTCCTCCGTTCCATAAAAGTTGCAACATTGCAATTTCTGCACTATTCACATACCTTACTTTGACTACGATTTTCTAATAATATATATAATAAAAATACTACGTATAAAATATTAATAAATTTGTGTTAATTTAAATTTCCAATATATTACCTTTTTTTAATGTTTATTAATACGTAAAGAAATATAATTACAGTCTAAGTAGCACCGAGACGGAAACGGAAACGGAAACGGGGACGGAAACGGGGACAGGGAAACTCCAATCTCAAAATATCAAAATACGGGTACGGCAAGGAAACGTCGAAGTAAAAATTTAAATTTTAGTAATATAGGTCACATTTACGTCCAATAAATACGAAATAAATAAATCAAACATGTGTCTTTGTTATAATTCCACAAAGGTGTATTATTAACACCATGAACTCCCTGACCCATTCCCACTCTCTCCTATATGTTTCATACTTAGAACAATAAATATAGGAAGCACTCAACTTCGGGAAAAGATTAAAAACAAAGCTGCCCAAAATTCACAGCCGTCCAGCACTTAGCAGAGTAGCAGATGCGCTCACCGCCTCACCCAAATACCTATCCGTCCAACTGAGTAGCACTGTAGAAGACCAGCAGATGTTCGATACTCTCTGCGTCGAGCTTCTGCGTACTTCTGAGTTTCTGGACTTCTTCTTCCTGTCAAGTCGTAGAACACTCAACACTCGAACGTTGTTGCCTGGAGGGGAATCGCAAAGAGGCATTGTTTCAGCAAGTTTACTGAGACGGTGACTGGGAGTGCGAAAGTCGATCAAGGTATTTTTTAAAAAAATTAAGAAACGGGTAGGTCCAATTAAAAAACGTTTCTGAAACGTTTCCCCAACCCGGCCCAAAAGCCCAATACCTCATAAACGTTTCCCAGCGCTTCCGGCCGTTTCCGCACGTTTCCTACCGTTTCCCGTTTCCGAAACGTTTCCGGGACGGAAACTGGAAGAGGAATGCCGTTTCCGTGCTTCCTAGATTACAGTCAAAGTTGAGCATTGGCAAACGTGAAAGTCAAACTGTTGCAACTTTTATGGAACGGAGGATAGTATAATACTAAATTTCTGCTGCTTTGTTGATGTCTCTATCATCCTCCACTCAAAACCCATTTTAGTCTAACAACTGAAAATAAAAATGATGCAGATTTCAATTGGCAGACACTGTTGTCTATTTTAAGACAAATAGCATGTGCTGTTGAATACATCCACAAATCAGAAATGATGATTAATGATCTTAAGCCTTCAAACATACTAGTGGACAAGGACATGATAGTCAAGTTATGTGATTTTGGTTCAGTAACTAAGGAAAATGTTCCAGGAAATGTCTACACTCCTGCATATGCAGCCCCAGAGATGTCAAGATTTGGTAAGCTTTTTTAGATTTTACAAAATATACTTAATATCCCATTAAATAATATGTTGAGACTTGGTTGTTCTTGTCCGACTCTGTTATTGAACTTTATAATGAAAACAAATTCTGTAATGATTATTTTATTTTCAGGGACGAAGATCACTCAGAAAGTAGACATCTTTAGTTATGGAATATTAGTTCTTGAACTGATAATGAGAGGAGAGTTGATGGATGAAAAGGACAAGTCCCAAGAGCTAATAACGAAGGCAAGGAAAATCCAACTTCAAAGAGGACATGTGGTTCATAAACAGCTAATGGAAAAGGGTGGGTGTTCAGCGATTGAGGCCACAAACATCACAGCTATAGCTATGCAATGTGTTGACTCAGTGGCAAGCAAACGTCCACCCATGGCCACAGTGATTGAACGTTTAGAAGATATCCAGATAAACAATCAGTCCAACAAAGAAAAGGAAAAAAGCAGCCACAAAGAGAGCAAGAAAAAGGACAAGCTTAAAAGGTTACTACTTACTTTCAATAGTTACTCTTGTGTGTCAAAACTACTATTCCTTTTTCCAATCGCTGTCTTTCAATTATTTGGCACTATCTGGAATCTCACCAAAGAGGCGGTAATGAAAATCACGATTTGGCTCCAATCTAAAATTTTCCCACTCATTTTTCAACCTAAATCTAATACTTGTACGCCAAATTTTTTAACCAAACCGCGATATCTTTACATCCTGCCACTGCTCTGCTGGTTCATATTGTCTTCTTCTTTCTTTTTTGCACTTGCCAATCGCCAAATGAACTAGAGATGTATAGTAGGAATGTCTACTTGTACAACTTGTTTTGTTTCTCCTAACACAACTTCTTAATGTCAGGTAAGCTCATATAGAACAATTTGTGGCTGCCGGAGGTTATACAGTTTTATTGCCTTTTGGAAACATAGTTTCTCGCTGCGCTAACTCCCCCGCTAAGTAAGAAGGTATCTACTACATATTATAGAACTCGTTCTATAAGGTATGCTTGAATTCACTTTCTAATTACATTAGTTCCATTCAATAATTCATCTGGTTTGAAGTTTTTCATGAATTTATAGATACACGACCCATTTGATGTTGAAAGTGTTAATTTATGTATGTGTTTTGTGTTGTTACCTTTTCCCCTTGGTATCTAATGTCTGATTACACCTTGGTTCTTCTCTTTGTTTGTTTATTTGATAGATTCTACTTTCTTCCGAATGATGTATTGCACTTTCCCATTGTTATAATTTGAAAATTGAGGGCTTCTATGTATGAACAAAAGAACAAGATAATCAGTTTGCATCTTTTACTTGCTTCAACTTATCTGTAATTGAGGGGAACCCATTTTACTTGAGTTGTTTTGCACAGAGAAAGGACAAAAAAAAGAAAACTAGTGAGAAAAATGAGTTCTACAGGAATCTATGAGCTTTAGAAAGAGAGGTGGTTTACTGATGCAAGACGAAGAAAAGGAAAAAAATAGAGAAAATATATAGATGAATTAAACAGAAAAAGATGTTAGAGATAACCATTATCTAAGTTGTGCTCTACTGTGTTTCGTCTAACAATCAAAATTGATTTCTTCAGTTTTAGCCGCCCAGACTATCGGACGAGAATACTTCTAGTAAAGTTCAGAGCAAGTTTAGTCATTAATAATTCATTTTCTTTAGAACTTTTGTCATGAATTTCCATATTACCACATTCCAGTGGTGAAGATGCTAATCTATGATTTTTTTTATGTTGTTTTCCCTAATATTAGAGATTGTTATAAGCTCATTAGTTTTCCAATTACTGATTCTATAGGATTAGCCGATTAGGTATATAGAGAATAAAATTTACAAAATAGCTATTGATATTAGTTAATGGTTCATGACATTGGAGCTATTGGGAGGACACATTGTCCAATAGATACGGGGTACTGGAGTACGATTTCTCCTAACACTAGGACAGACCTCATAGATGGGATAACTACAAGTATGAATGTCTTAAATTTAACATATAAACTTTTCATAAGAAAAATAATATATCTATATTATTTATTAAGACATATACTTCATCTTTTAATTAATAATATTATTTCAGGTGTTATTGTTGTATTCTAAATATGCTCGTTATCCCATTTAACATCATATATTCTAAATATGCTTGTTGTATTAGACAAACTTTGATGTGGACCTACAAGACAAGGAAATGAAAGATTATATCTCCAGGCTTTATGTTGGAAGGTACATAGAGTTCAAGGCTGAGCTAAGTAAATATTTCAAGTAATGCAAAACACTTGAGAAGGCACCGGAAACACCCCCTGCAGGGATGCAAGATAGAAATGCTGATGAGTGGACCAAGTTGTGTGATCATTTCATTTCTGAAAAGTTCATGGTATATGTGTACTATTTATTTTAATTTTCATTATTTGTGATTCCATGAGTTGTTCATGCTCTAATTAAAACCTACCTTGTACAAAAATCCTCCATAGCTAACACAAGCAACCCTTCTAATAAAAAACACAACCACCGCACAGGTTCTCGTCCCATCGCATACATTGTAGAGGAAATGGCAGCGGTAATTAAGTTATATAAATACTTATTCACTTGCAAACATTTTGAAATTTCCATATATATAGTAATTGAGTTTTTTTTTTCTGCTCAAAGGGTGGTTCAAAATTTCCTGAAGTTGACACATTTCAATATACTTAAACGGGAAAAGATAAGACTTGGAGGAGTGACGAAGCTAAGGCTCAACATGTATGATACTATGTTTGTTACAACTATTTTTATTTCATGAAAAGTAATACAACTTGATTGTATACTTGGAGAGCATGCCAAAATACTTATTTGTTTGAGTTATTTGAACAATGCAGTAAACATTTGGTAGTGTATGTAATCTGACAATTATTTCATTTATTTGTGAAAAATTGTGCTAGAAGTATAGTTTCTCATGTGTCAAAAAAAGTATACTTGAGCAAAAGTTATCTTGGAGAGCATGCCAAAATACTTATTAGCTTGAGTTATTTGAACAATGTAGTAAACATTTGGTGGTGTATGTAATCTGAAAATTATTTCATTTATTTGTGAAAAATTGTGTTAAAAGTATAGTTTGGCATTTGCCAACAAAAAGTATACTTGAGCAAAAACTATCTATTATGAACTTTGCTTTATATACAGAGGCCTATACTATACCTTCATTTGTGTATTACATTTTTGAATGAAACAATACCATTTGTATATGTACTGTCTTATAAATAACCAGCGAGAAAGGTATTTATTATATTATGTTGGTACTAATTAACTTTATCTACAGATTGTAGGATGAAATGCTAGAAAAGATGGATGAATATATCTTGGATGTGATAAGAGAGCAGCAACTTCCTAAGGATGCTCCCTTAGAAGAGGTACCCGTTGATAATCCATATGCGGCGAATTCGTGGTTTAGGAGATGGACGTCTTCAGGATACCAATTTAAAACAAAAGTGTATGGAGAATGAGTCAGCTGTTGAACTTGCTGCAAGAAAAGCTGCTGACATGGCCCGATTAGAGACAGAGAAAAGGTTACATAAAAAATGAAGGTTATGGGAAGATAGTTCAACTCAACATTGGAAGCCTGGCACACTTCACTACAATAGCCGTACAGTCATGTCCCAGGGTTTATAATTACCACCTTTTACACCATTATCAGTTGATCTGCATGATGAGGTTGAAGATACTTGACGAAGATAAGCATGAGGAGGGTGGCTTAAGCTTTCCCAGCCTGCAGACATCCATACTCAAAAATAGGGGTGGCCAGACCCATTTCGGTTCCTGGGCCAGCCGATTGGACGATGGGACTGGGACCGAACCCAAGGGTGCCTGTACTGGGACGGGACAGTTATGGTGTTCCAGCTTTGTTGCAAACATTGCCATTCTCAATTGGATGAGGGTTGGTTAAAGGTGAAGATTGTCTTTGCGTTTGTTGTGAAGGGTGGTAAATGGATGGACCGGAAAAGATTATATTCAGATTATTATAATGGATAGATTGAAGGCATTCCATGTGATGTAATCCCTTTATGTCACAATGATAAAGATGGAAAGAGCATGAAAATAGATAGCCAAGATAACAATACTGTTTAGCATATCTTGTTCGAATTCACAACATATGAAAACCCTGAATAAATGTTCAAAAAGGAGAAATTTTCAATGCCAGGTTGCCATAAAATGGTTACCTTGAAAGCATGGGGTAAACAGCGAGATAATCCTGCATCCACCCTCGCAGCCTTGCTCTTCTTTGGCCAGAAGATGTTTACTGCTATCTAAATCCAATCCGTGAGACGTTCATCTACAAAAAAAATGTAGAGAACACAAAAGAGGAAATGTTTACAGCAACTGCAGATCGAAAAAACAGAAAACAGCAGGGAAACAAATCTATATTTCTATCGGTACACTTGATAGCATAAGAAAACAAATACTATGTTAGAGAAAGACAAATCTTTAATGTCAGATTGACAGGAGATGGTATACCCATGAAAAGGAGAGAGCAAACAGTACTGAAGTTATCATCCATCCACCATTGCTGCGAGTCTAGATCTAAGGATTTGAATCCAATTTTTGCGCTTTCTTTTTTAATTCTCTTCATCTTGCCCACCTAGAAGCAGAACTACAAAATCAAAATATGCTCGTAGCACACAAGAATGAATAATACTGCGTATTTAAAAGATATAATCAGAACCCAACCCAGGTTTTCTCTTCAAACCACCATCGGCCCAAGCGCAGATCTCATGTTGATTCGTATTCTTCGTTAATTTCCTCGAGATAACCCGTTGAAACAAGAAAACCAGAACCAAAGATGCGATCTTGAAGTTCTGTTCGGAGCAGGAAAAAGGGAAAAGGAAAAATAAAATTAGGTAGAGAGAGACGTTCGTGAATGAGGAGTCATAGAGATCTAACCTTATCTGCCACACAAGTACCATAATTAGAAACTCATGTACTCCGTACTTCCTGTCTTAGAGTCAAAGTACACCTCGACCATAGTAGCTCTATCTTAAATGAATTGTTTAAATTTAATCCGGTTAGATCAATTCGAATTTTTTTTAGTGGTTATATTTATCTTTTGGAATTCTGTAACTACAAAGAAATTAGAAAAGCTGTTGTGGGCCAATGTAAAATTAAAAATCTCTTTTTTTCTTTAAAGTGCTACGGAGTATCCAATTTTTACAAAAAATATACTACGTATTCCGTATCAAATTTCATACTATCTCTGTCCCATTTTATGTGTCCCACTTTGACTTGACACAATTATTAAGAATGTGGTATTGTGGTTGAAAAATTAAAAGTTGTGATTCAGATTTTAGTATAATAGATTGAAATGTTGTGGGTCACATATCTTGTGATTCAGTTGTCCCATACTATCTCTCCAATCACATTTACACGTGGTTGCACCCTATTGACTTAGGCTGTTAGTTTGTTAGAATAGATTGAGCACGCATCCTCTCCCTATTAAATCAACATCTTTTTACTTGGGCACCAATTATTTCCGTTTTAGTATAAATATCACCTTACAACTTGTGGAAATGATCGATTTATGCATTCTCTTGTTGTTACTCTGCTAAAATATTGACCTGAACTTTCCAATCAGCTCTCCTCTCTTACTTTACTCGGATTCCGGCAACCCCTAGGTCGGTGATCCATCACTCGTAGCTATATTATAGAACCGATAGAGACAGACTGTATGGAGAAAATTTGCGACGTGTTAGTTTATTTTCATAATGCTACTCAATCTATTTATCATGTTTATACACATACTAGGCTACTATAGACCTTTTTTTATAGTTCGGGTTGATCTACTGGTGCTTTCAAAAAAAATTCAAACCATATGTTCATTATCTTTGTGATTTCATGAAACAAAAGTTTTTAAAATATTATGTCCTACATTTTTAAAATAATGCTTTCGTTCTTGATCCTTGTTTCAAACTTGGTTGTTATAAAAAAAATAGTTTCCAATTATAGTTGTTTCTACGGTGAGTTGCTTATGTACTGTAACACCGTCCCCATGCATGTTTATCTTACCATTAGATGTATTAAAATGTATTGAAATTTTTACTATTTAACTTTTATTGGTACGACAAAGTCCGCATGGGACCCACATTGTGGGTGGGGGCACCTGACACATTCCATGACTACATATATTGCTAACCTTGCTCTAGATATACTTATATGATGGTAGAAATGATCGTGGGCTACCATAAAAAGGAAAAACAGTCAAATTGGGCGCGAAACCCATTAATTGTAATTTACCGAACACTTCTTATGGAACTCTTCAACGAGCAGTCTACGCGTGTATTTCCTCTATGATACAGATCAAACAGGAGACTGATCAGAGGGATATACTACTAAAAGTTGTTAGCTTGCTTGAGGATATCTTTGTTATGCCCACATGTATAATCAAGGAGGCTTTTCAACCAGTATGTATGAAAGTCCTAAAGAGGTCGACTGATAGAGCGGTTGATGTTCGGATGGTGTTGAAGATCATTTAATTGTGAATCAAGTTTGTCACCTATCTTTTAATAGATTAGCTTTATTATTATTCCTTATATTCAATATGTGTATTTATTAGGTTAATAATATGGGCCAAGTGTTAGGTCCATACAAAAGGCTAAAAGCCTTATACGCATACCTAAACCTCGCCTATAAAAGGGAGCCGAGGATCCAGGTCTGCGTTAACTTTCGTACTGGCTCATAATAGCCTTAGCGCAAATACTTCTCTGTACGAGTTCACGGTATATCAAGAAGGGTTTACATCGATCTATTTGTGTTCATCTTTACTGTTAATCTTCTTCTTGTTATACTGTTATTCATATTGCTGTAATAGAAAACAGGGACTATCAATTGGTATCAGAGCCGATCAAGAGCTGATCAGAAAAACGCCTGCAGAAAACCTCTGTCTTTCTTTACGTTGCTTTTCTGTCGAGTTCTTACTCTGTAATCTTGTTTTTTGTTGAAAAGTTGTAAAAGTTATACCCTTTGAATCGTCATTTCGAAGCGATCAAGGTGTATACTTTAGATTTCTTTTTCTGCAATTTTTGTACTTAAGATATCTCGAGAACCATATGTCGACATCTAGGATTTGAACAGGTTTTGCCAAGTATTTCGAGCTGAAAACTTCACCTGAGGATCTCGACATCCTACTCTACCAGAAACTATCCTCAGATTTTGGTTATCTGATTTTTTCAGTTTGCAGGATTTCGACATTGAGGATCTCGACATCCAAATCTCGAGATCGAGGTTTCGATTTTAAAGTCTCGACTTCTGGTCTCGACATTTGACTTCTCGAAATAATATTTCGAGTTTCACTTCTCGACATCTCAAATCTCGAGATTTACTTCTCGACATTTGAAATCTCGAGATTTCAAAACTCGACATCCTAATCTCGATATCAAATCTCGAAACCGGGCCCCCTTTATCGAAATCTTGGATCTCGATATTCAGATCTCGACATCTGAATTTCGACATTCTGCCTTTGAAAATCTTTTGATCAATTATCTCGAACGGTCAGTTTTATACTGCAATGGCCTCAGAATTCAATGCCCAAGGGAACAGCAGTACTCCACTCAGTCTTAGGAAAGGAGAATACCAGATGTGGAGGAATCGATTCCTTAATTTCCTTGAGCACAAAGAAAACTCCGCTGCAATGCTTGAATCGTTGCTTGAAGGACCAGCTGAACTGATGATTTCAGTTGGAGGTGATCCAGAAAACAACCCACCTATTCCTCCAGAAAGGAGACGGAAAGTGGCATCCGAATATACTGAAGCTGACAAGCTCAGGCTTCGAGGTGATCTCATGGACAAGACGTACCTCCTTCAAGCAATCCCAAACGAAGTATATGTGCTCATCGATAGCATGCAAACGGCACAGGAAATGTGGGATGAGATTGAGAAACTGCTCCAAGGCACAAGCATCAGCCTTAAAACCAAGAAGACAACAATCCTCATTGCCTATGACTCCTTCAAAGCTGCCCAGGGAGAACCATTGAAGGAGACTTACAATAAACTCGTCCAACTGGTCAATGAACTAAGGAAAATCAAAGAAATCAGGTCCAACTTGGAACTGAATGTAAGATTTCTCTCCAACTTACATCCTGCATGGGAAAAGACAGTGAAGGATGTTAGATCACGCATTGACTTGAATGAAATTGATCTCTGCACTCTTTATGAATATTTAAAGCAATTTGTCAATGAGGTTGCTTGTGCTGAGGATCAACACAGCTTAAATCCCTTGGCTCTTGCGATGGAAGCTCAGCCCCGAAGGACAACCACACCACTGAAAAAGAAGAAGAAGAAGGTGGTGGTTGAATCAGATGAAGATGAGAGTGATGATGACAAATCTGACCTGGAGGCTGAGCTTGCAGACATACAGAAGAAAATGGCACTGCTTGCCAAGAGATTTGCAAAGAAGAATAGCTCCTCCAACAAGCTGAGAACCTCCTCCTCAAACTACGAACAGAAGAACCATGATCAAGGATCTTCTAGGAAGGCACCATCAGCTGAAGATGCCCCCAAATGCTACAACTGTGGAAAGGCTAGACATGTCATCAAAGACTGCCGCCTCCCAAAGAAGAGGGATGCAAACTTCTACAAACAGAAGATGTTGTGGAATAAGCAGAAGATGCTGATGGTGCAGAAAGAAGAAGAAAATTCTGCAGTGCTTACTGAGAATGATCACTGGGCAGAAGACACTTCTGATGAGGAGGAGGAAGAAAACTATGTCTTGATGGCACGAGTGGAGGAAGAAGATGAAAGAAAGGGTGATGCTGCGATCCCCGAAAGTGAATGATCAACAAGCTCTGTAAGTACCTCTTATCTCCCTTTAAATAATCAAAATCAGTCCTTACTTGAGAAGGACAATCTAATTAAAGAAATAAAGGAGAGACTAGACAATAATCACAGGGTACTGAAACAGAATCTAGACCAAAAGTCTTCTCTAAGTGTTCAACTTGAAATTGCGAAAGAACAGGTCAAAAAGGTGTCCTCAGATTTTGAAAGTTTTGAACTGAAGATAGCTGAATTAACTAAGAAATTTGAGGACAGTGAACGAGAGAAAAGCACGGCAAAGGCTGAATGCGATTTTTTGCATAATAAAAGAAGAACACTTTTAAGCAAAGTAAAAGAACTAGAGGATCTAGCTGCTAGGAGGGGTCAATATGAACAGACATTTTTTCTAAATCAAATAAAGGATGACCGGTTCTACAATCCTGAACAGGACTGGGCATAACCAACCCATGTAATCTAAAAAAAGTTAACTGTCTTCAGATTTATAACAAAGATTACATGGGACTAGGGTTTGGTGAGAAAATGTATTTTAGAAGTGATGAAGAAAACGCAAAAGCAGAAGAAGAAGAAAAGAGAAAGAACCCTAAAACTGTGATTTCTTGTGATTATCCTTCTGTTAATGAAAAACAACTCTCACAAGAAGAACCTAGTTCCTGCTTTAGTGAATGTCTTGACCCTTATGCAAAAGATATTCCACACATAGGACATCCTCTAGACCCACCCCCAAGAGTAGGTATCTCTAAAATTGGAGAGGAACCATGTATTTTTCCTATGGCACAAAAACTCAAAAACCTCCAGAAAACTCTTGACAACGAGAGAGAGATTTGAAACAGAAAAGAGAGGTTTTGAGAGTAACCGGCAGGAACTTCTTCAAAAATTCAATGAATTAAGTGAGCAATATCATGCTAAAACAACCTCTCAACCCGCTTCTAATAACAAGTCTGAGAAAACTAAGCTTTCAAAAGGTTCGTCCACTCATCACTTTTCTCCTTTGCTTACAGGTAAAGAAGTGAAGAAGGAAGGAGAAGAGAAGAACGAGTGGAAGAAGAAGAGGAAGGAAATCGCAGAAGGCAAAAAGAAAGTTTTTGAAAAAAAATCAGCTCTAGATCCAATTCTATTTTTTATTCTAAAGTTAATTGTAATTATGTCTCTGAGAAACAAACTCCTAGTAGTTCAGTCTTGAGTCCCAAGCTGGATATTTCTGAGACATCTTTTGGTCTTCGTTCAATTC